CTTTATTATGGTATAGTATTTAAATATATGCCTGAGAAACACATAACATTGCCCCTTTAAAAGTAATAATCTGCTCTGTTTTAGCTTCCTGGTTAGCCTTTCTGCCTGCTGGTATTCCACTTGTTGATGTTTTTTCCCCTGATTTTAAGTATATTTTKTTTCAGCCAACATCCTGGTCAATCTTAAATGCATTTGCTACTATTATAATTTCCTAATTTAGGATATTGCAAATTAAATTATGAAATATTTTTTAATGTCTTTTTTTAGTTGARTTGCCCTCAAATAAATTTAGTAGAAATCATTTGAATCGTGTCTCCTTCTTCCAGTAGAGTCAACCTGTGTGTCCTAGTACTATTTAGATTTCCTGCAGTATAATTCCAGGTTTTGGTTTCCTTTTTTACTCATCATAGACTTAACGTCCTACATTATAACAGTTTCATATTTTTAAAACAAAACAAAAAAAAATACCCCAGGTAATTACAAGACCATCCACATTTAAAGGTGGCAAGTATTACTAATATTCAAGTGAGTACATTTTATTTGCATTTCTTTTGTTTTTAGGCCTTATAACAAGCTACACATGATTTATTCAGATAAAATGCACTTTGATATTTGGTGTCTGCAACATAAAACAAACTTTGTGCTTAAATTTTGCTACTGACCTTTGGTCCAACCATGTCCTGTCCTGCAGGTCCTCTTGGACCAGACGGGCCAACAGGTCCTTGGTCTCCCTAAAGCCAGTAAGAAATCTTTAAAAATATGTAATGACGTGTAGACAAGAGGTCAGACGTTAATATTTAGGCCTGACCTTTTCTCCTTGAGAACCTGCACCAGATACACCAACCAAGCCAGGCAGCCCAGGACCTCCTGTGTCTCCCTGAGAGTCAGACAGGTTAGAATGTGCTGACTCAGCAGCTTTCATCGTGTGGTCCAGACACAGGTGACGATACCTTATCTCCTCTGGATCCATGTCCAGGAAGTCCAAAGCTGCCTTTGAGGCCTTTAGAGCCCCTGTCACCCTGGAAGAACATCAAACAAAATCTGTTTATTAAAACTTCAAGAAGATGTCACCTTTACTTACAAGGTCTTTCATTTATTTATGGAAAAATAAAAAAAGACATGACACAGTTAGGTTTGTCTTTATGTCCATGGATTTACCTTTGGTCCTGGGGGACCCTCGCCTGCAGGTCCTGGAGACCCTGGAATCCCCAAAGGCCCCAGTGAACCCTGACAATATCATGTGAAAATTAAACACACAATACATGTACAAAAACACATACTGTATAAACACTATATGTACAAAAACACATACTGTATAAACACATACTATATGTACAAAAAACATACTGTATAAACACACTATATGTACAAAAACACATACTGTATAAACACATACTGTATGTACATAAACACATAATGTATAAACACATAACGTATGTACATAAACACATAATGTATAAACACATACCGTATGTACATAAAAACATACTGTATAAACACACAAACACATCCTGTATAAACACATACCATACATACAAACACATACCGTATGTACATAAACAAATACTGTATGCACATAAACACATACTGTATAAACGCATACTGTATGTACATAAACACATAATGTATAAACACATACCTTATGTACATAAAAGCATACTGTATAAACACACAAACACATCCTGTATAAAGACATACCATACATACAAACACATACTGTATGTACATAAACACATTCTGTATAAACAAATACTAAACATACAAACACATACTGTATGTACATAAACAAACACTGTATGTACATAAACACATTCTGTATAAACAAATACTAAACATACAAACACATACTGTATGTACATAAACACATACTGTATAAACACATACTATACATACACAAACACATACTGTATGTACAGTACATAAACAAATACTGTATGTACATAAACACATACTGTATAAACACATGCTATACATACAAACACATACTGTGTGTACATAAACACATACTGTATAAACACATACTATACATACAAACACATACTGTGTGCACATAAACACATACTGTATGTACATAAACACATACTGTATAAACACATACTATACATACAAACACATACTGTGTGCACATAAACACATACTGTATGTACATAAACACATACTGTATAAACACATACTATACATACAAACACATACTGTGTGCACATAAACACATACTGTATGTACATAAACACATACTGTATAAACACATACTATACATACACACACATACTGTGTGCACATAAACACATACTGTATGTACATAAACACATACTGTATAAACACATACTATACATACAAACACATACTGTGTGCACATAAACACATACTGTATGTACATAAACACATACTGTATAAACACATACTATACATACACACACATACTGTGTGCACATAAACACATACTGTATGTACATAAACACATACTGTATAAACACATACTATACATACAAACACATACTGTGTGCACATAAACACATACTGTATGTACATAAACACATACTGTATAAACACATACTATACATACACACACATACTGTGTGCACATAAACACATACTGTATGTACATAAACACATACTGTATAAACACATACTATACATACAC